ACCTTTCTTTTCTCCAGTAGTTTGCTCTCTATACTGCGGAACATGTCTCTCTACATATCGAGCAGCATCAGCATCAATAGAACCAACAACTGCTGCGATCGACGGCCAATCAGTTGCTCCAGGCGGAGGATGTGTTACGTCTGCACCAAGAATAAGGACTGCCTCTTTCCGCATTAGCGCGAGGTTAAGAGAAGAATTTGTACCATTAAGCTTTAGATTCATCTTAAGAGCAACATTCGCACAATACTGCTTCATCTTCTTACGGACATGCGGCATCTTAATGCATTGCGTAAGAATGCCGAATTTAGTATCATAGAGTTCCTTTATCGCGTTATATTGTATCGTATTCAAGTCGCGGTTGCGTCCAGAGTCATCTTCGATAATAAATACGATCAATTGCGGAGCTGCTCCCAACTTGTGCTTAGCATCCGATGCAATTCTGGTTAATGTATTTCGAACAGATTCAGCTGTATACCCTCCTCGTTGCACTATAACTGGCGGTCTCCTCTCTTGGATATACATTCCCTGTGCGTTCGAAGTCCTGACCAATTCATTCACAAAATCTTCGATTACTCTCGTCGGTAACGCTTGTTCCGGTAACAAACTGACCACACACCAATCCCTCAAGTCTTCTCCCGCTTTAGCAAACTTCACGTCTCTCAAATTCCACCCGCCATCATCTGCCTTTGGTCTGACATTGGCATTTTGTGTAGAGGGATGATATTGGATGTTTGGCAAGTTTAGCACGCGACCGGGGACTACAGCTAATTCGGTAGAAATTGTCATGCCGAAAGCGTGTAGTACTGGGTCAGAGTTGACGGAGAGCATGTTACGAATACCCTCAGAGATAAGTTTTTTCATTTCACGCGGTGGATTAGATGTGTGTCGTATCATGTTGGCACGCTGTTCGCCATTGAGTTGACTTGCCCGATAACGCTGACCCTGTTGAGTTTAAGAAAGAGTCAGATGTAGTAACCATCTCAAAAGTAAAAGCATTCCAATGGTACGATTCTATGCCTCAAATTTCCCATCACGATTTTAAACTCACCTCAACAATTCCACAAACTTCGATCGGAATCTTATCACCTCTCTTACCCATCATTTCCACGAGATGCAAATGCTTCAGTCTCATATTATACTTTCTCTGAAAATAGGTCTCAATTGTTTCTTCCTGGCCTGTTTCGTTATTCATAAATGTGACTTCGTTTGCATTCTTGGGCCATAAACCACTGACGCTATATTTTGCTTGCGAATCAGGACGATGAAGAGGTTTGACTTTGACAGTTTTTAAGGCTCTGTTGATACGTTCAGTTTGGGAGCGGTCAAATCGCGAAGGGATAGACTGCAGATTGAGGAACTTTTGGATAAATGAAGCCAAGTCGACCGGCTCATAACAAGTTGTATACGTGATATTAGTGTTGAGGAACAGAGAGCCTGCGCGGAAGAAAGAGGTGTGATGAAAGGGTAATCAGTTTAATCCTCAATATCACAAGATGACGATGATCGAAAACCATTGCAAGAGTGTATGATATCTTTGGAACATGAGAGGGCATAATGCACTAATGCACGGCCGGTTAAATTGATTCTACTATCCTTGCTAATCTTTAATGCAAATATTGTTTTCTTACCTTTCGCTTGTCCCTCCCCGGGTCGAATGCTCTCAAACATTCCTCTAACCAAAGTAACACCACCTCCTAAAGGACGATGATCCTTAGTATCAAAAATACTTTCCCCAAACTGAGTATATCTCAAAGCCGGATAATGATGTACGATGGCATTCAAAGCCTTGATCCCATCTTTATCAAAGAAATCCCAATCGAACTCGTCTCCTTCGATTAAAGTTTTCAATTCGTCAAGATGAATCTCTGGATTGCTGGGGTGTTCCCTTATATCTACGTGGTAAGTATTAGGAGCACCACGAGTATCCTGATCTTCGAATACTTCAACCATTTCAAAGAGTTTGTCCTGCTTCGCTGAAATTTTCTTTGTTGTATATAGAGTCTCTCCACCATCAAATGCCACACCAATATTATGAAACCAATCATCTCGATGTACTCTCTGTAATTCAGCCAATATTATACGCTTTAACCTCTTTGTATCGCTGCGGTTACCCTTGATGGGTGCTCTTTTCGTGACCTTACTTCCTCCCTCCGTGGCCTTGTCTTTTGGATCTTCTGTGATTGCTCTACGAAACTCGATAATGTATTGGTGGAGAACAGAATATTTTGTTGGGTTGTTTATGATAAAAGAGTTGGTCTGGACTTCTGTGCGACGGTCTTTGTGACCGTCCCGACCCTTGTCGCCGTATCCTGGTCGTTGAAGTGCGGTTGGACGAGAGGACGACATTCTGACTGACTTGAAAGCTAGTAGTAATTAGAAAGTTGTGCATTGGATAAAGGGAGAAAGACATGGTGAGTCACAAACAAGCAAGTTGGAACAACGGGGTGATATAATGAATGAATGAATGGAGCGTCGGCGTTAAGAATTCAACAACCGAAGAGTCAGTTGACGTCATAGTTGTTAAGCATATGAATGTTTGTGTTATTTATGTTATATGTTTTCCGCACACTAACGGTTTACATCTTTGAGGAACCAAAAATCTCGGCTGGGAAAGGAACACTCGAGTAACTAGTTTCATCACACAACTCGAACCTTTTATTTCTCGCCTGCTATCTTTAATACGCAGTTGTCTAAACGTGATAATATTTGCCAACAATTCTTTCTACCAGCTCAGCCACATGCAAACACAAGCTCTCTTCCTATTTCCTACCTTATGTTATCAATTTAGAATGCAAAGATCTGTCTGTTGAGTTTTGTACAGCTGCGTTCTTTTATATAATAGTTTGTCGTTCGTCTTTCGTGAACAGAAAGTGAAAGAAAGTTGGGGAGTGGGCGAGGCAGGATAGCAATATATGAGCAGATATGATTGTGCGTGTGTGACCTGTTTGATGTGCCGATCAATGATGACGAGAGCGAGTACTATTATGGAAATGTAGATCGTGTTTATATTTAGATTGACTAATTGTCTTACTTGTTTCCTATCAATAATGGAGACAAAAAAGAATGTTTAAAGAAGAATGTTGTCAGGTTCGGGTAAGTGAACCTATGAAGCCAAAGTAATAATTACCATAATTTGGGAACTATAAACTCGCGTTATACAACATTTAGTGCGGCATTGTTTAAGAGATTATTTGAATTAAGTGATGATCGACGGCTAATAATAATAACACGCGACAATAATCTCTATGTCACATGATAATTCCATTAACGTTACTTGTGTTACTTCTATTTATTGGCACAATGACCATAAAGCTCATAGCAGGCTAACAAAGAACGCAAATCTCCTTACTGACAAGGACCATCCTTGACACAAGCCATACCCTCGCCCTCCTCTTGTCCTTTTGTCGATTTAACTTTCCCTTCATTCTCTACAGCATTCTTCACAGCTTCTCTGACATCCTCGTCATTCCCATTGGGACTCAATTGCTGTAATACAGCCATCACATGAGCAAATGGAGCATGATCTCCCCAAACCTTTTCACGATACTCGTATGCGATTCCGCTATTACCGGGGCGAAGAACATAAAGCCCGCCGAGAATTCGACCTTCGCCTTTAAAGTTTCCATTGACGTTCTACGAAATGATAATAATTCTCTCAGCCCCCAGTCCCGAATTCATTACACGATTGGTCGGTTAAGCAAAATTTTGCATCGATTGATTACTAATACAATGCTTTCTCAAGCTATTGTCATGCTCATGCTTAGTATTTATCTTATCACTTACCGTTTGTCGGTTCCTATTGATATTGCTCCAAACAGAAGGCTTAAATATACTGCTCAAATATCCTCCCCATCTTAGCGCTCCGCCTCTGCAAAAGCGACAATATTAGAATGATATAAATAGTCCTCGATATCACGTGTATTCGGCTATTTACATACCCGAGAGCATTGTAAAATTCCTTCTTTTCGTCATAATACACATCACCAGACCAAAATCCATTGTTGAATTGCTCCACTTCATCATCGATTCTTTCATGTACTACCGCTATCATTGGAATACCCTCGATATATGAACAGATATTTAAACAAAATTCGTGACAGTGAAAGCTCGACAGACTATCAGCTTGCTTTGCACACTTACTAGCTTATTAGTAATAAGATCCCTCTGTTGGGCATATCGAATCACTTCCTCTCTACAGAGTTGACATCCTGGTCTACGAACTGCGAAGAAAAAGTAAAAAGTTATTGATTTGACCACGATCTATCGAAGAAGTTAAATGCAGAACTACAATGCAGGAATGTAAATGTAGGTAGAGGTTGGCTGTATCGTGCACGCAGTATAATATGAACATGTTTTGGTTCCCTACAGTGTGTACAGACGAGCGTACATACAATATCCAGTATAGCATACCACAGATATACCGACATATCGTCAAGTATAAAGCAACCTTACCACACCTTATCCAGTAACAATAAAGTTCTTCCTTCGCTTTTACTTACCAACCATAATCAACAGGGGCTTCTTCTCCCACAAGCTGGTTGCTTTAACTTTCCTCTCTATTCCGCCGTTTAGCTGCACTAACTCGATCCCCTCCAGTGCGGAATATTTAGTAGTTGGGAGCGGTATTTCTTTATTTTCTTTGTTCATAGTGTCAGTGAGGATGTTAAGAATGTTTAAACACAAAAAGTTGTGAAATTGATATTGGACCCCCACCTTCATCTCCTGCTTTTATATTTTCAGACGCCAGCCATAAACAAAAAATGCTTATTAATGTTGAGATAAAATAAAGTTTTCTGGACATTTGAGACATATTCGGTTTTACGCTGCCCGAAGATGCGAAGTAATTGACGTAATATTAAGCAGGGAGTTATACAGTTTCAGTATAGCAAGCCTGCCTGTTATGGAAATCATATCCAGGAGATTGGGATGATGTAATGCACTTAATAATCATTCTTTATTGGATATTATACTTTACATAGTCTTTCTTCTCCATCATTTCTTCAACAACACCCACCGTCCTCGCACCCATCTTCAGTGCATATACCAACAATTTTCTTTGATTTCTTCTTTTCTTCAACCTTTTCCGTAGCCTTCTTGACAATTATATCCGTCTCCATTTTATTCAATTCTATATTATCTTTCTTGGTTGAAACAATATCGCACGCACCAAGGACCTCGTTAACAGAAGCGTGTTCACCGGCTATTTTTTCAACATGTTCATACACAATTCCGCCTTGTCCCGCGTTGACAATGTAGAGGCCGCCGAGGATACGTCCTTCGCCTACGAAATTGCCTCTGATTTCCTAAATAACGAAAGAAAAATAAATAAGAGGAGATGGTGGCAAAACAAGGCATACGATCTATTTTGTTTCAAGTTACTGCTTGCCTCCTTCTTTCCAGCGCGTACAAGGCTGCCGACTACAAACGGTTTAAATAGATTAAACGCTTTAAAGAGTCGCAAATGTCCGCCACTAACAGTAAGAGAACACCTCATCAGTAACCGTAATCAAGAAACGTCTTTTTTATGGCCAATCCGCACAATCATTCACAAGTCTTTTCCACCCACCCAAGTGCTTTATAAAATCCTTTGTTATCGTCCAGGTACACTTTCCCATGCCAATATTCATTAGCAAACTCCTCGATCTGGCCCTTGATGTTCTCATGGACGACAGCATACATATTGATACCCTTGATAGATAAAGAAATAACAGATGAGTGTTGAATCATATAGGAATTGTGTGATGGATAAACTTTAAATGTGACTAGAGGTTTAGCTCATCAACTGATATATCAAGTGCATCCGTACTGCCCAATATTGATAAGTACCATCTCGGTAATTAGGGCTCTCATGTTGGATAGCTTTAATGCTTCCTCTCGACACAGCCAACACCCCGGCCTTCTGACTGTAATCACATCAATCGAAGAAGATAGTGGTAAGAAGTACTAGAAGGGGCGTTTTTCAACACTTACATGATATAGATCAAGTATACGTCATATGCATATTTACTGTGTCATTCCTTGCCTTTGCTTTGTCTGTTGTATTCATACTTACCAACAAAAATCAAAGTTGGCGAATGTTGCCACAACATGCTAGCCTTAAACGTAGAGCCTTTGTTAACATCTCTCAGCAGTATCTCGGATATTGCCTCGAGGGACGTTTTTGGATTTGGGAGAGAAGCTATTGTCATGTGTTATTATGAAGAATGTAAGCCGATTGCGGGTTGGAGAAGACGTTTCTGCGTGTTAAAGTTAATATTAATAGTATGGAAGCAAAGGAATATTACGTTGTTTATGGGTTGGTTTGCTTACTGGGACGCTATATTGCACCTCAATTACTAATCCTTATGTGCGGGTAAATTCTACCATGTCAAATAAGGAAATATGTATTTGTATCAACCTATACATAATATGAAATATCATTTAAGACAAGGGTTTACAAAATTAGTTTCCCCTTCGTGTATCAATTTCCACCGTTGTGTGCAATTTTCGAACATTCCAGAATAAACCACTGCTACAAGTCTACTTGATGATTAATACGGTTTTTGTGTGGATCAAATCAAAATAAATTTTAATAAACACGGTTAGCTCACATTCTTAAACAAACTAGATTACCTACAAAAGTGCAAGTAAAATCCAAGAGACATATGATGTCTCGGTTGAAACGCTCCGGAAAGGTTGCCATTGTCTACCCATTGCTCGTGAGAAAGACTATTAAGATACGTGTGCAGCAAATGTGACCAATTAACGATTTGTGACCGCGATCCATCATATAATCTGCGCTTGCATGTTTCATGCGCGTATGAGATCGCATGTTTCAGGCTCCATAATAAGATTGCATGTTTTATGCGCGTAGGCTCCATATAGGATTGTTCCAACGGGCAGATCACAGATCTCCGACAACGTTAACCAGACACGAAATTATCAGTGACATCGGTTCAGGGCTCAATTGGAAACGCAGGGGGTTTGTTACCCTTTTGGAACGAATATACTCTAAAGGAGTCGAGGATGTGGTGGTACCCGAAAAGATCGCTTGTGTCGCTTTGGATCCGAACTTGTGGAGTGGATCTTTGAAAAAAATGGGACACGGATCGTGGTTCTCTGTTCAGAAGTTTATACCAATGATAGCGAATATGGAGAGCTCGCAAAAGACCTACTTGCAATCGTCACAGTGTTTGTGGCGCGACATAATGGACTATGCTCGGCCGCAAATTGCAGAAGGAGAAGAGAAGCTGCCCAAGAGGTTCAAGAGGTTCAAGAAGGAAGTGAAGAAACTTTCAGCAGGCAAAGGTACGACGTATTCGCATTTATCCCAACCAGAAGGAGCGGCCGAAACTCAGAAGATGGATGGGAACAGCATGATGGACATACAATCGGTGCCTTACCGCGGTCGAAAAAGAAAGTATCAAACGAGAAAAGAAGGATCTACGCGCACTATGTCTCAACGCCAAAAACTTCAATGATACCAAACTTAGATGGTCCTTGAAACTCCCTATGACATTCGCGATGAAGCAATGAACGACTTGCTTAATGGATATTCTTCCAATTTTTCTGCCAATCGTAAAAAATTCAAGATGAAGCTCCGTTCCAAAAAAAAGGATCCTCAACAATCAATTACAATACTTTCTAAACACCGGCACCTGTACATAGAGCGAAGTCTGTAGTCGAATGGAAAGAGGAAAATTTGATAGCCTCTCTTCCATGGCCTGCACCAGGCCCAGACCTTAATCTAATTGAGCATCTATGGGATTTTCTGAGTCAACGGGTACATAAGCATAAACCTCATGCAAAAAGTTGCGGGAATTGAGTGATGTGCTAAAGGCGGAGCGGCCACCAGCGATTTAGAGAAATTGGTAAATAGCATGCCACATAGAGTCAGTGCTGTAATTAAAAACCCACAGAATATTGATCTAAAATTCAAAGAGTTCATAACTAGGCGAGTTTATTGATGTAAAGTTTGTTATGCATTGTTAATATTAATACTGTTGTCCATAATAATAATAACGTTTTCAATGATGCTCGTCATGTGACCAACACTACTCGATCACATGTGTTATATTTAAAATCTGCGCTGCACGCGAACTGAGATTGGAATAATAAGACAATCAGGTAATAGCATTATAAGAGTATTTTATTGACATTATGATATCAACCCTACTGAACTGCCTGTAGGATACTTAATAACCGACTGGATTTGTTATAAAATAATATTACACACTCCTACTAGCATTGCCACCGTCCAACAATTGAAACCGCTTTTTTACATGGTTGTGGTGTAATAATAAAAACTTTATGAATTATATTTTTCCCGTTCGAACAGTATAATGAAATATTATTATTATTGCATGTTTACAGATCGTTACGGTGACTGGAAGGAATTTGCGAGCTGTTCGTTTGGGACTCCTCCGCAGTCATGCGGTTGACACTAACAATCCAATAGAGATGATTAATCGAAGAAGTAGAGTTACGAGTTTAATTACGAATAGTATCATCAAAGTCAAACATCATAACGCCTACATTAAAACCTATTATTACTAATAAAACTCCACATTAATATTAAGCAAAGTCTAAATTAGGAATAACAAGTCCTGTCAGGAATAGGCTCCTAAGCTGATTCCTTTTTTGAAGAAGAATATTGTGAGCACCGTTAATATCTCTATCAAGGTTTGTTTTACATTGGGGACAGCAAAACACCTTAGATCCACCTAGCTTTTTATGAATATA